TTCCTACTTTCACTCTGGATGCAGGAAATTTGAAATGGGGCTTCAAGTTTTCTCATTTGGCTTTTATTTATTATTAGCATAGGGCCAGACCTATTGGCCGGGGGAGTTTAATCTTTGTATTTGAAATCTTGTACTCATTTTTGTGGCCCGTTTTCATTTCATTGAAGTTCTGACAGAGGAAAGGCTTGTATGTGATGGCGTGTTTTGCTTCTTATCTAAAGAGTGGCAAAAACCTCTACTAAACACTTTTTAGAGATTCTTTTTTCCAACGCCAAGCCAAAATGTTTGTGGAGATTGAATGTGTCAGGGCATAAAGAACAATCCACATTTGACACTATGGGAGGATTGTATTTCTCCAAACCACTCTAGGCAACGCCTAATCCTCGTTTGCAGGTAGATGAGGGGGGGGTGCTAAAGACTAAAACTGCTACTGAAGCGATAGACTCAAAGGGGTTCAATGATATAATTAGTTCCATGGAGGCTTAGACCTCTGATCCAACCGACTCCTTTATCATAAATACTTGAACTTCCTAATAGCGACATGTGTTGGCTATGATACATTTAATAAGTTTAGTTTAAGATAGTCGTCTAAGTATGAATCCTGTATAAAATGACTATTATCAGTTGTCATGAGCAATGAGATATATTTTATCAACTTATCTGAAGTTAAAATTATTGTATTTCTAAATTAGAACATAAGAATTTAGCTAGTAAATACGACCCGGACAAATATTGTATATCACTTATTAAGCCAGTTGGTCAAATATTTTGACATAAGATCTTTGTCTGGTCAGCTTATATAAGGCTCAAATAAGGAAACAAAATCCGGCTTCTTCAGATGCAGAACACCTAGAAACCATGAAACATAAGCATAATTGGATTAAAAAAAATGAAAGTATAAAAGTTTAATTTTCCGCAAACTCAAAGGAATAATCCTAATCCAAAGATTGGATTAATATGTAGCATAATTAAGTCCATACTCAACTTCTTTTTTGTATATTATTTAATTCATATTCGATAAAGTTGTTCGACAATAATAATCCAACTATTTTAATTTTGGAATCAATATCGGAGATGGTTATTATTGTCACAAAATTAAAATTGAGATTCTAATTTACTTTATTTTTAGATAATTATAATAATATATATATATACCAAATTTTTTACTCACGGAGCTAATTGACCCAAAGATGAATAACCATACTATCTTCCGGAGAAAATCTTCAATGGTATTGGTGTCCAAACCAAGTTTCAAATCTGCCTTCATCTACTTCAAACTCGATTGAATTTCCATTATAGCTATTATGCGTGCTGGTTTTCATCAAACTTCATTTGATGTTGACCAATTTTGGGAGAGGAAGTGGTCACTTTTGCGGATTCCTTCGCAAAACAAATAAATTATGATTAATAATGTAAAGCTTAGTACTGATTAAGTTGAGAAGGATTCAGATAACAAATATATAATTATAAGAGAAAAAAAATAGTCACGCAAGAAATAGCAAGAGTCAAGAGAAAAAGCACATAGAAAGCTAACAAATTATAAGTGTGTTTCGGGAGACATTAATGCAGGGTAAAACCTTCTGATCTCCTCACCGTTTTGCTTGCTTATAAACTTGGTTCAAGACAAACTATACAGCTATGGTGTTTTGTCTTTGCTCTTAAAAGCATAGAGAAAGAATATATACGGTCAAGCGAATAAGACGGGACGGAAGAAAGGGCTGAGTGGGCCTCATGTTGGTTCTAGTTGAGAGCCCAAAGTGCAAAAAAAAAAAGAAAAAACATAATATTATGGGAAAATAATAATGGGCTTTAGCCCATTTGGCAGTCGTCGTCTTCGATGTGTGGAAGTGCAGTGACGCCGACAAAAACTGATGCAGAAGAAGGATAAGAATAAGAACTCATGGTTTTCTTCTCTAAGTTATGGATCAAGAAGCTAGTTACCTAAAATCAACCGATAAATTAAATCTTAAAATCTCTTGGTATGCAGATTGATGCACCATAGAATTGTTGAGTGTTGAATCACATGTAAGGTGGCCAAATATTCAGCGACCGAATTGGATTCCCATTGCGATGATAAGAGGCGGATGAGAAATGGGAGGAAGAAATCTGAGGGTCGGGCTCTAGAAAAGCCAAGATAGATGAGATGGGTAGAGAAACTTACATAGAGAGATGCATTCCGGGTTTGACTTCTCCGACGCAACCGGCGACAGAGGTAACTCCGATCCCTCTCCTCTGTCAAGCTCCGATCAAGAAAAAAATATTATTAAAATAAAATCAAAATTAAATGAGCGAAAAAAATACAGGTCGCGACTCGCGAGGAAGAGAAAAATTGCGGAAAAGATGGATTTCGAATTTACAATAAAGCCCATCCGAACTACGCGGCCGTTTCAGTAAAAACTTATGTGGCAAAACCTGTTCTTTCACATCAACGCATACTATAATACGCTGAAGCAAAAAACAGAACCCCCATTTCAAAATCCCTGCTTCCAGAGCGTTTCTCGGAGGGGTATTTTTGGAAGTAGCGGCAAAAAATTTCTCCGCTGTCTGCCCGGCCTGCACCTTGCCTGGGCTGCGCGCAAAATGTAAAAACAAACACCTGGGCCTTCATTCCGGCCCATTTAATTTATCCCTCCCCGCTCACTTTCACTGATCGTCGATCCTACCGCGAGCAACGCCAGACTAGGTATTCTCTGGTGGTTCAGTTACGGGCGGAGCAGCCAAAGGGTTCAAGAAACCTCTTCTTCTCCTCCACCAAATTCTGATACAATAGCCCGTCGCCTAACTCCCATCATCTCTACCACGAGTCTGTCGAAGGAATTTCAGCCACGCCGCGGTACGCCGTCGAAGCTAATTGCTTTAATTCCCGCATTTGTATCTGCTTCGAGCTCCTGCCGCAAAGGGAGGGAAGATGAACAAGTGAAGCCCCAGTTATCACACCAATATCTGCAATCGAATTGAAGTCATCATCCCAATTCAACAAAGAACAGAGATCGGGTAATTCCTTTAATTCAATCAAATCTGGGTGGAAAGTGGAGAGAAAAAAAAGCTGATGTCTTTTGTGTTGAGTCCAGACGTACCATAGCCAAAGAGGCACGATGTTTGGCACGATGCTTGATCTTTTGCTCCCTATTCATGAAAATTGATACAGTTTGCTCGCTTCATCATCCGAGATAATTGAAAGGCTGAATGCAATTTCTTTTTTTGCTCTTTCGATTGCATTTTCTGGTTTTGGTAGCTGCTCTTTCGAATGCACCCTCCGAATTGAGAATACCTATCTATTGCTCAACCAATTTGGGTGTTTAGAGTTTGAAAGTTGAAACCCCAGTTCAGATAGATGCTCTGCATGCATCATCGTTGTTGTCATCAGAGTGTGCATATTTTTCAAGAACAACATCTTTTTATTAGTTCTTACCCTGGATGTTGTCCTTTATTTGCTGCTTTGTTACTTCTTTTTTTTTTGTTTGGGTAAATTTGCTGATTTATTATGGTTCCCCTTAAGTCAGGGTGATATATTATGGTTCTTCGTTAATACAATTAGCTAATTTTTTTGAATTCATTGCTTTAACTTATGTCTTTTCTCTATCCTAGGTTAATATCACCTCTTACAAACTAATTAATAGGAAAGGAGAAAGGATAGAAAGAGGAGTGGGGAGACAAATAAAGTGACAAAAGCCTTATGAGGTTCGATACCAACCAAATATAACCTGAAACATGGTGCAGAAATTGGAACCTACAACAAGTATAATGTGCTGCAGACTTTGTTGTTTTTCTATTATGATGTTTAAATGCAGAGTGATTAATTTTCTTCGACTAACTCTAAAATCTTTATATATTATAGGAATTTGGCCACTAATTAATTCACCGAGCCCTGACATTGGGTGAGTAGTTTGGATACTGATTGAAGATCGCGTAAGTTTCTCTTCCCTGACACCAAATGTGATACTTTTTCTCATTCATTAACATATATTTTGGTTTAGCGTTTGGTGGTTGGTGATTGTGAGATAATTGAAGCTCACGTTATTCTAAACATCAAATCAAATTTGACAAGAGTTAATGTTACAGTTGATCTTACTTCTATAGCTATTGTAGAGAATCCTTAAAAATATTACTTGAATTTGATTCATGACCATGTTGTTTCTCTGCTGCTTTAGCGGAAAATTTTGGATGTTATGAACCAACTATTTAGGAAAACTGTGTTTCAAGAGAGCTAGGAGCAAGACCTGTACGCCCTTGCTTTGACTATAATACCGATCTCATAATCATCATGCACTACGCAGGGTTGAAAACCAGTATGCAAAAGCAATTAAATTCAGAGTGTTGTGATTGCTTGCTCTTTTGATATATGCTTTCTCTTTTCATATACGAGGTAGGTGCATTTAGTTGATGAATGAAACCGCTTTGTAAAAGAAATTGCAATTAGTTGCTCATATTTGCTTGCTCAAAATTAGTTTATGTACCCTTTTGGGTGTATCGATTCTGATCACAATTCTGTTTGCTGGAGGATTCGTAGAATGAATGAGAAGTCTCCTCTCGCTCCAGTGAAGTCCTATCTCAGTGAAGGAAAGGTCATGTATCAGTGATTTCCTTTGACTTCTCCACTTTTGTATGTTATTGAAAGCAATTAATTTTTACCCAGAATACAAACTGGCCACTTTGTATTTAAGAGGTATCCTGGTAGGGTAGAAGTGGTATCTTGCTAAGCCTTTTTAGCATGTATGTCGTGGTTCTTGGCTCCACAGTAGAATAGGATTGGGAAGGTTGGAATTGGTATTCTTATTATTGGGATTCTCAGTTAAGGATTGCTATTGGGGTTTATGTTTGCTGATGTTGCTTTGATTTTTTTATGTCAGGGGTTAACAACAAAAAGCTTTCAACCTTTTCTATCCAAACCTGCGATTGAGTTTTGCATTAGTGATTATATGCTTTGGTTATGGTAGAAGTATAGTTTATAATGGTCGCTAGCAGTTTTATGTATAGAAACTGTATTTGTCTCTGGCTCTAAGCTGATTTTTGTAGTATTTTCTACATGTGGTATGTTTGTTTTTTTCTATTAACCCATTTCTTGCTAAATGGATTCTGCTCATATGCTGTATTGAATCTCTGATCTTAGCTTTGTTGCCTGCTCTCATGCTTATGTGGTTCATCAAATGCTTCAATGAGCAAACATGATACCGTTTTTATGTGTATTATGGACATTAAGAAGAAGAGAGGGGAAAGCTTCATTATGACAAGCTACTCTAGCCAACATGATACTCTTTTTATTACTAGGACTCATCATGTTAATTAGTGTAGATAGGCATTAGGCGAGTTAGACGGGTTTAATGTGGAAGTCCAATGATGTAAAATATTATGGAAAATTCTCGCCTTTGAGAAAGTTTGGCAAGACTTCTTTTGGAATTTCTTAGGACATTACTGAGTTGTACGAATTTTAGGTGAAAATTCAGCCAACTACAACTAATTAGGTGAATTTAAACATGACCCGCACCCACCCGAATAAACAACATTGGAAAGTTGGGTTCTTTTAGTATGGTTTGCGGGTGGGTTTAGTGTGTACGATGATTTTCATACATTTGAAGATTCATCTTGGGATTAGAAACAAACACTAATAGTTATTTTTCAAAGAAATCATCTTGGAGGCTGATAACACTCAAATTGGTTTCATTTAGCTTTCATATTTAGTTTTTTTTCGTGCTAATTCATGCACATAATCAGAAGAATAGTGTCGATTGCATCTATGTTTCGTTCTTATTTGATTATGACGTGATTTTAGGGTGTTTTAGTCAATACATGCGGATTAGATACGAAAAGGGCATAAAGGTAGCAAAATGGTAGGAAGCTGATGATCATGACCTCAAGAAGGAAGATCACGGCCAAGAAAGCAAACCGCGAAACAAAGGCAAAGATCGCGGCATAAGAAATATTTTTGATAATGGCTCGCGCCCTAAGAAATTTAGAACATCTACATTAAGAACAAATAAGTTGATATCATTTACATTAAGAACTTATAACTATTTTGTTGAGAATTTATTTGACAAATTAACCTATAATGGATCAATGTTTCATGACATGCATTAAGATAAAAAATACTTCTCGATTAATAAACTACAACAATATAAAAGACGGAAAAACAAATCAATCTACACATAATATAATACGCCGAAGGGAAAAACGGGAGCCCCATTTCAAATTTCCTGCAACGAGAGTGAAAGTAGGAAGGACATTTTGGTCTTCAACTATTATCTTCTTATAAGTTATATTTTTAACAATGGTTACGTTTAATTTGTCTTCCTAAGTGACCGAAATTTAAGAAAGGAAGCCTCAAAGGATTAAAACAGAAATACTTAGTTAATTCCAAAACCGGCATTCCTAAACAGCCTCATAGGAGAAATATATATAAATACGGTAACAAGTTGAGCAGAATGAGACGGGGTGGAGCAAAGTGAGTTGGAAGTTGATATTCAGGTAATACCCACAGGATGGGTTCAAATTGCCATCACTAATTATCCTTGCTAAGTAATAAAGTTGCAATGAAGAATTATTGACTAACCTACCCCGACCAACGGGCCGGGTTATAAGCTAGTTGCCTTATAGTATTTTGTAGACATAGATTCGGCTAAAATCCCACCCAATCTAAATCCTCAATTCAAACGACCCAAACGAAGTAATAGCGGGCCGTTCCGATTGGGCCAACAACTACCTATTGGGCCGCTCGCTGCTTGATAACAGTAGCATTTTCCCGCGCCTTTTTGCAGTCGCTTTTCCCCAAAACTGTTCAAGGAACTATGGAGGGCGAAGGTTGGGAAGAAGCACTCGATCTCGACGACTCCGACCTCCCTCCTCTCCGCCCTCTCAAACGGCACTACATAACTCAAGAAACCCCCGTCGCCACCGCTGTTAGTCTCTCCGAACTTCAACCATTACCATTTCTGAGGCGCTGTTCGATCCTAGCGTCTCAATCTTCCCAATTCGAGCCGCCGCCTTCGCAGAACTCTTCCTCCCGTCTAATTCCGGGCCCCGCTGGAACCGTACAATCGGCCATGCAACGGAGGAAGGATCGGCACAACGGCGAGTTGGTTTGCGTGGGGGAAGACCCCATCCCTACGCAGGAGTACGTTAGGAGGGCTTTGGAGGACGATGGCGCCGGGGAAGACGACGATTTCACTCGCGAACCCTGGCTCTGCGCCCTAGATTTTATCCGCAGCAGAGGTTTTCCCGGGATCTGCTTCATCCATTCTTTTCCTCTAATTTTTTTCCAAGCAACTTTTGTCGCTGAATTTGTTGGTGAATTGGGCAAATTAGGATTGGTGGATAATTATGGCGCGATTGGAATCCCTTTGAGCGCTGTCAAGAGCTTTGATAACGCCGACAGGGTGGCTCAGGTACGGGTCGGGACTGAAAATCTCTTACCCCCTTGGAATCCGTTGGTGAAATCCAGTAGTGATTCTGGCAGTGTTTGGTCCCCTAGAAAGTTTTGAAAAGCTAGGCACGGGAAAGTGGCCTATGATTGTTGGTGATTCTTGTTATCCTGGTTTGCATATTGCGGTAGTATTTTTAGAGCACATCTTTACTCGAATCGTGCACTGAACTACCCAGGTGTTAGCTGTAAGGTTTTCTTGCTTATTCTGCAAAGGTTTCGGGTTACTCACACTGTTTGGTTTTGCTGTGGATGTGATTAGGTCGTTGCCATTGTCAAATCTTGTACCTCAAATGGGTTGGGCGATTTCATTGTGAATCTAAAGGTACCGGATTGAATATGAGAGTTTGTTTTCTTACTGCATCTGCGTTTTACCCTCTGGAACTAAGGACAGTATGGACTTGTGTACTATTTCTTCAGGATCCCACAGGGTGCATTGATGCTAGCATTCATCACAGAGTCGTCAGTGAGGTAGAGTCAGGGAAGGACATAGCTGTTGGAGCTGTGATCATAATAAAGAAGGTTGGTTTCTTCATGCTCTCTGGCAATAAGAACTGTTCTCGTGCTTTTAATTGATACTTTATTTGATGACTGGAGAGGTTTCATGAGTATGGTGTATTGACTTAATTTTGTGTTCCAGGTTGCAGTTTTCTCCCCTTCGCGCTCTTTGCATTACCTCAACATAACACCTAATAATTTGGTCAAGGTATGTCTCCTGTCTTGTGCATCCAATTAGTCATGGTGTTGACTGTTGGTGAATTATATTTGGGAACCATCAGCTGGTTCACATGACATATTCCAGATAGTGTTAGTCAGACCGTGACCCTCATAGCACCTTGTATGTATTACTGGTTTGTGTGCCCGGTTTAGCAAAACTACCCCACGATGTAAATGAACTTCAGTCGTCAAGCTATTGTTTCACTACAGACCTCCAGAACTTTGTGCTCTAGCTTGTGGCTCTCAGGACTAGTGCTGTCAAAATAGTTTCCCTCACTGGCAATCTTATGTTCGAAGGTCTGTGATCATAACTAGTTTACAACCCAGGGCAACGATTGTAATCAGAAGAGTAAAAGGGATTGATCTGCAAAACGAACCATTTCTTCCACTGGATACCTACACACCAAAACCGTTTGGAGAAAAGTCTTTCCTTTTAGCTTGTCTTATCAACTACCAGTTCCCGTATCTTTTTCCACCTTTGAGCATCAGCATTACTTTCCTCTTCTACTTCTCATCATAGAATAGCTTGATGCCTAAAGTTAACAGCTGCACCTTTTTCAGTCATGTGCCCTCCTTTCATTGTGCAGATATTCTCCAAGGACTACAAAGCACCATTAGAGGAGGATAATTGTGCATTAACCGACGTACATGTTCCTCTAATATCCGGTACCTTCTGTTTTCTCTTTATCATCATTATTCTCTGCAGTTTTCCTAGAGAATGTTTTCATTATATTCTGTCTCATTTAAGTTTAAGTTGCTTCCTGCAAATGATCTCTTTTGTTACCACAGACTGCAGCGATCAAACATCAACTCCAAAGAGTCAATCCTTTGTGTCGCAAAGAGAACGAACTGAAGGAATCATTAACAGTCTTAAACAAAACCATAACACGAGCGGGAGGAAACACAGTGGTGAAGAGATTGAAGGCCTGTCAACCGAGGCTGCAGTCAGCAGCTCCGCCGTCGATGGAATCATCGGACGACCAAAAGTTGTTACACGAAAAGAACAAGTTCCACAGCCAGGAGATGCTATGGGATGTGGATTGAAAGAAGTAGGTGTTGAAAAAGATCGTTCAGACATGGACGAGGCTTACGTCGTGTACGAGATTCCAGATCATGGGAATGAGAGAAGTGGCAGCAGTAGTAGCCAAGTGGTGAAGCAGACGCAGCATGCACCTCCACAGTGGACAGACGAGCAACTGGATGAGCTTTTTGCATTCGATTAAGCACTACTCACAGAAGTTCTTCACCGTGCCGCCGCAAAATTTGTAAAGGATGGGATTATACCGTTATGCCACTGATGAACCGACGCTCTCGGTTCGTGAGTTGCTTGTAACTAACAAGCGAGAGAGCGACGTTGGTGTCGTAAATCTTTAGTTTTACTACCGCCGAACTTACATATTTATAGAATAGAAAACCTAATACGCAACCCTAATGCTACCCAAAAAACCCATTCCTATTCGGCTACCCTTACCGTGCCGCCTACGAAAACCCAAACCCAAAAGGAAACCAACAACACCTACTAGCCCTAAGCCCAATCCGAAAAACCCACTCGTCAATCCTTCCCCCTCGAAATCAACCTTGTTCCCAAGGTTGACTCTCAAAATCTTCTTTTTTCGAACAAACACATCACCCGCGTGTTACTACACTTGTGCCTGATGGTGAACCGCTTGTCGTAGTTGAAGCACAAACCCTTCGGTTTCTCCGTGGCGACGGTCTCCTTGTCGTCACGCTGGCTTGCCAGCTTCTCGAATTGCGCCATCAACAGCATGACATTCTCATCCGTCCTGGCCATGCGCTCGAGCATTCCCGTCACGGTGCCTAGAGGGACTGAATTATCGCCTCCGTCCGTGCCGCTTGCGCCTCCAGCCGTTCGCCCTGCGCCACCAAGACCTCGCTGGTGGCTTTCAACGCCGAACAACGTTCAACCACCGATCCCCCCATTGCTGCGGAAGCCGTGGGCTCTGATACCACTGATGAACCGACACTCTCGGTTCAAGAGTTGCTTGTAGCTCACAAGCGAAAGAACCACGTTGGTATCGATAAACTTTACTGGCCTTAGAATCCAGTAACGCTCTATTGGGTCTGACTTATCAATTCTTACTGGGTTTAGAATTCAGTACCGTCAACTATGGGCGAACATAATGGATTCACAAATTTACCAAGGGGTCGTTTGGATGGATCAATTGTAAAACGAGACAATTTGACCAATTGTTTCATTTTACAAAACGAGTCAATTTAGATTACCTGCCCCCACCCCAGACAATTGTAATTGGCTCAAAATGAGTCAATTCAGAATTTCCCAGCCCAAATTGCTTCATCCAAATTTTCTGCTGCCAAACGGATCAATCTAGCACAATTGACTCAAAACGAGACAATTGTGTCAGATTGATCCATTAGAATTCCTCATCCAAACGACCTCCAAGTTTATGTAGAAGAACAAACTTTGATCTTACTGATAAGGCCAATACTATGGTACCACTGTAAAAACTGCGGCACCGGTGACGCTGATTCTTATTGGGCCACGTGGAGCTGATGTGTCACTGACTAGGTTAATTAAACCCAAGCCCAAATTTCAACCGAGCAAGCTGGCCTAACCCTACCGGCTACCATCGTCAAACTGACGGGGTGTCTTCCTTTGATGGATTTTTCTTTCCATTTAATTGCATTCATTTTTCTCCTAAAAAAAAGTCAAAAACTCAAAAGCAAACCCAAAAATGTCTCATCCATCTCGTGCTCGTCTGATTCTGAAAAGAGTGCAGCGTCCGGCGAACTCCACAGATGTCGATCCTAACTCCACACCCTGCACTTAGGCCTTCACTGTATCCTCCTCCCCCATTGATCGTGTAAAACAAAACACGATCCTGGTTCCGAGCGACCCTGTGTCTTCGTCGAAGAACTCTGTCGATTCCGACGATCCCAAGGCAAAGGAAGTGTCAATCACCCTCCCTCTGTAGCATCCCCTCTTTCTACACCGTTACTGTTGGGAATGTCGAAGCCGATTGCGAAGTTCCTTGGTGCCTAGAGACATTGCCCTACAAATCCTGGTAATTCAATTCGTTTGTTATTTTAGGAAGTATGACAATGATTGGTCTCGTTTGGGTGCCGAATCAGGCCTAGTTTCCATTTGCCTCTGAGCTGTTATGCCAGGGATGTTACAATGGAGCCGGATTTTCGGGGTTTTTTTTTTTGCGCTTGCCTTGTGATTTGCTATCGGGACTTGCGTTTGCCTGTTCTGTGCTTGTTGTAATTCTCTGTTCTTTCTTTGTTGGATGGTGTTTTTTCTCCAATCTGAACCCAAAACGTGAAGGTGTGTATGTTTTCCTTTTTCTATTGGTTTGCGTTTGCTTTGAATTGGGATGAGGAGAACAATAATCTTTTTGGTATGAATACTCATCATGAACGGAATCCAAAATAGCTAGCGGCTGGTATTGTTTAATAAGAGGTTACAAAGTTGCAACTTAGGGAAGAAATAAGTTCACAACACAACTCTGATCAAGATTACAGTACTAAGCAAAGGGAACTTTTTAATGAAGACTTGGCTGGCTATAAAAATAGCTGACTTGTTTTTGAAAATATAGGACGAAGAAGTATCCAATCTTTATTTGCTCAATCTTTATTAAACTGCTCATGGGTTGCATGTTTGTTGTTATATTCCAGCATTTGATGCTTGCTTACATACAAAGCTCTTTAATGGCTTCTTGCTCTCATATTGTGTTGGTTTGAATAATTGGTCATGGCCATGGGTTACTGTTTCTATGAATGGCCCAGGATCTGGCTTTTGTCTTTGTTCAAATGTCAGCTGGTTAATTAGGGAGGAAAGCTTAAGATGGTAGAGAATAATGGATTTATGCTAATTTGTTATTGGGATTAAATGTTATAGGTGTTGATATCAGTATGAACAGACATTTGAAGACAATGAAATTGTCGCTCAAGGGCAAGAATCCGGTAAGCAGTTCATCTATTACCTTTTCCTTTTCCTTTCTTATTTTGCAGTTGGATGTTTCATGTTAGCTTTAATTGTATGATTATATTGCAGGGAGGGGAGTGGGATGTGGCTGAGGAAGGGGTCGTGGAAAAGGACATGCATGTTGACGTTAAATTTTCTTTGATATAGCTGTGCATCAAGTTTTCGGGATTAGTAAGGGAATTGAGAGAAGTGAGAACTCTTTGTAAGTTTTGAATCGCGCTTGGAGAATTTGAACTTGAAGTTGGTACTGTGTTTAGGTCTGACGTGCGTTATGTCATGAGAATGAGATACAGGTTGTTTATATGCTTACGGGTGTAGACGTGGTAGCTAATAGTGTAAGTTTGGAGGAAGTGATGAGATGGTGTGAAAATGGCAGCTTTCTAGAGCCTTCATTTCTTGATTTATTGATGCTGCTTTTTCATCTGAAGAACGGATGATCATGTATTATGCTTAAAGGCTTATTTTCGATGAAATTTAACAAGCATTTGTGCTGCCTATGTTCTAGATCGAATTGACCTTGAGCCATAAAATTATCCCTTGCATCTGGTTTAGAATGTGGACTGCCAAAACAGAGTATGAATTGTGATTCTTGACTCAAGAAAACTTGTTCAGAACTTCAGCTTTGGGAGTTTCAACCTCACTCCCTTGGTTTGGCCAGTTTGAGTTGACCTGTGAGCAATGAATTTATGTCTAATTCTTTGAATAACATGGCATATTGTGTCTTCCTAAATTGACCCTTGTCTTGAGCAGAAGTATCTGATCTGATCAGCGGCCAATATTGGCACTAGGCATCTGTGAAAATGTAATGCGTTTGGAATCCTTTTCTGAAGAAGATAATTTCAAATTCACATTGGTTAGATTTATTCAACTATTTCACTAGCATACGACTTTGAAATGCCCAATTCTAAGCTTACTACGAGATTCATGTGGAGTAACAAAACAACATTGCTATAGAGACTAAGAAGAGTGAAAAAGATCCAAAGATACATAAAGCTCCTGAATTTAGCCGCGACAGGGTGCTCCTTGAGTAGTTGAGCCACTTCCGGTAGATGGTCCAGACTGTCCTCCATAGCCAAGCTTGATCCCACGAGACTGCAGAACCGACAACAGAAGAACAATGTTATCACGAGGCCTTGCGAAAATTACAAGTGAACCGATCTTCCAATAGGAGCAGCATAACTCCTCGACATGCTTCCTTGCGTCCTCCAACCAGCTGGCCAAGTGGTTGAATGTTTCCCTTAAGAAAAACTATTAGCATAAATGAGTGCATAACAAAAAGGTTTGGACAAGTAAAAATCATCATCTAGCAGCTAGTAATCGAGATTCGTTCTGTAAGATACTGCTGGTAAAATCATCATATGCTAAATGCATTCCAAGCATCTTTTGCAATATGAATTTCCCTGCCAAAGGCATTCCAAGCATTGACAGGTTAGTCTCAATTGCAAGAATTCATGACAAAAGAAATAAGCACTCAAAAGTTAAGACACCAAACATCATCAGCAGCCGCCTAGCAGTTGCCCCTCCCTCAACTGTGGTCTTCTCATTCCACTCCACAACATTTTGTAGCTAGCTGACCTGGGACTTGATAGATTTTAGGAAGGGCAACACTATTGGAGTTTGTTACAGTAGAACCTTCAAAGATTCGAGCTGATTATAGCTTCTGTTAGTCATCTATGAAATAAATTAACTAATGCTAGTTTTATTGCAGTTGACATTTAAAAATATACCTAAGTCCAGCATCTCCATTTTCACACTCAACTCATCCCATCATTCGGGTAAGGATTTGATGCCACCCCAACAGAAGCAACTCAAAGTACCATTTTGTTTTATACACAAAGGAAAACCAGGAAAACAGAGGCCAAACGATGGGACTTCTAATCAAGAAAACAAATATAACCTTTAATGGTGTTGGATTCTGCGGACATGGTCTCAAGATATGCTTGCCAAGAACAAAATATTGAAGCCTCCATATATGTGTCCAACATTACACCAATCACCCTCCCTAATTTCAACTACATTATAGTGAATGGCAGAACATATATAATGAGATACAAAATACAAATAAATCAGTCACCTTACCACAATCGAATGGAATAACAAGATTCAACTTGAGCTCCTCTTCCGAGGGAGAAACAATCTGATACGTTAGTAAAATAACAAGAGAAGCGCAATGCCTTGTTTGAAGCATAATTGAGTAATTAAGGGGAACAAAAGTCAGATAATTGAATAGTTGTACCAGCTGGTTATATCGGATGGTCACCCCGAATACCTCGAGCTCGTTGAACTGTGTTGTCCCCAGCACTGCCCGATAGAGAGGGGAAAGGTGAACAACAATTCAGGTTAGAGGATGGTGAAAGCTGGAGTCCTCAGAATGATCATCTCGGACACGTTTGAATCCCCCATGTATTCATATACATAAATGTATGGATACGCCTGGTAAGTCTGGATGAACTGCGTGTCGGAATTCAAACTCAATACCACCATTTTAACTCACCTGTGTTGGGTGCTCGATGACCACCGACTGTGCAGGCAGAGAGTGGATGAAATATGGATTGATATATACAATGGCACAAACTTCAATGGAAGGGAAAGAATGGTGGTTGTCTCAAAACAGCGAAATTAAGGCGCCAGAATGACGGGGACGGTTTACAACGATGGGGACGACGCAACGGGAATTAGCTGTCATATTCAATTACTAGGGGTCATCTGGTATCGTGGAAACGTTGCAGCTCGACGGAGACAGAGTGACGGTGACGAAGCGGGAATCGATGGCTATGTTATGCAGAATAATTGGAGGAATTAGCCAGGTTCGGACCTTGGGATTTGATCTACAACAGAGTCCTCAAAAGTGATTTTGAAAGGTCACCTGAGAGGGAGATTGAGAAGACGATGATTCACTTTTCTAGTTCGTTTTTATCCTTGCCTTTTACTGTTAACGGTCTTCTTTTAGTCTCCTATTTAAATGAGAAGAAGGTTTGGAGTTTGGATAGACTTTTGTGGAGTTTGCCGGACCAGTTTGTGCGCTTCATAGTCGGAAGGCGAGAGATCGAGGAAGATGCCAAGAAATGACCTTGCTTGCTTGTTTATTGCAGTAGAAAAGTAAATGCAATTAAATGAAAATAAAATTGAAAAGAAAATCTAAGGAAGACACCCTGTTAGTTTGACGGTGGTTACTGCCTCGTTACTGATTCAATGAATGTCGATCTCAGCAAGCCAGTCACGATCGAGGAGATACGAAAAGCAGTCTTCTCCTTGGGTGCCCACAAATCCCCAGGACCAGATGGTTTTTCAGGTATCTTTTATCGAAAATTTTGGAACACGGTTGGTGATGATTTCTGCAGAGAGGTTATGGCTTTCTTCGAGACCGAGAAACTTCCCCAGGGGTGGAATGACACACACATTGCTCTCATTCCGAAGGTGCCTTCACCGGTGCCTTCACCGGAGTCTGTCGGCCAATTCCGACCTATTAGTTGCTGTAATTTCAAGTACAAGGTGGTTTCCAAGATTATGTCAAGTAGAGTCAAAGAGTTCATGCCATCCCTTGTTTCGGAAATGCAAGCAGCATTCACGGGAGGGAGAATGATTCAGGACAACATCATCATTGTCCATGAAGTGCTCCATCACTTTAAGAACCGCAGCAAGGGGAAGCAGTATGACATGATGATGAAAATGGACATGAGAAAAGCTTTCGACCTTGTGGACTGGGACTGTTTGGATGCCCTTCTGGAAGCATACGGTTTCAACCAAAAGTGGTGTAGATGGGTTAAAGAATGCATTCGGACGGTTCGTTTCTCGATCTTGGTGAACGGTGGTCCCACTGAATGCTTCTCCCCCACGCGTGGCATTAGACAGGGAGACCCTTTATCCCCTTTCCTCTTTATCCTAATGTCAAATGCTCTTTCATTTCTGTTGGATAGAGGGATTTCTGAAGGGGTTGTTCAGGGGTTAAAAATCAAGCCTAATTGCCCTCGACTTTCTCACTGCTTGTTTGCAGATGATACCGTTGTTTTCGGGAAAGCCTCTTTGGAGGAAGCTGAGGCTGTTATCCATATCATTGACAAGTACAAATCGCTAACAGGACAGGAAGTGAACATGGAAAAGTCATCGGTCTTCTTCAGCAAAAACACTCCCCCGCCTTTGAGACTTTCTATTACCACTTTTCTCGGCTTTCCTTCTTCAATTTGTCATGATAAATACTTGGGGGTCCCCACTGAATGGGGAAGATCGAAGAAAGAAACCTTTTCATTCCTCCTCGAAAGAATGGAGAAAAGAGGGGATTCATGGAAGAGCCTCATGCTCTCGCATGGTGGGAAGGAAACATTGATCAAGGCTGTCCTTCAGGCGATCCCAACTTTCATTATGAGTGTCTTCCTTCTCCCGGTCACTCTTACAAAGAAGATGGACTCTCTTATTCACAGGTTCTTCTGGTCAGGATCAATGAAAAAGCGTTCGATCCCGTGGCGAAAAGGAGAGGTCTTGAACGACCCCAAAGGTGAGGGTGGGGTGGGATTCAGGAACTTTAACCTGTTTAATCTTTCTCTGCTTGCCAAACAGGGATGGAGGCTTCTTAATGACCCGGATGCTCTCTGGGCTCGTTTGATGCGGGGACTTTACTTCCCTAACGGTCATTTCCTCTCTGCCAAGAAGGGAAACAGGTCGTCGTGGATTTGGGCAAGCTTGTGCGATTCAAGGAAAGCACTGGATTTGGGTACGATCCGTGTCATTGGTGCAGGGGAGGAAACATACTTTCATAGCGATCCTTGGGTTCACACTCTCCAAAGCCACAAGATCTCGTCTCAGATGTACCCACCTTCTCGGGTGTGCGACTGGAAGAATGAAGACGGCTCGAAGTGGAACATGAGTCTTATCCGACGTCACTGCTCACCGCAAGAAGCCGATGCTATCTCTCGCATCCAGATTGGCCCAGAAGGTTCCTCAGACAAGTGGGCATGGAAATTCAACTCTACAGGGGAATTTTCAGTTCGGACTGCCTACCATGGGATAAGGAAGCACTTTAAAGAGCAGAATCAGCCGACGGTCAATGACGTGAACCTGCCAGCTGATGACGGCCAATGGAAATGGCTTTGGTCCTTGAAGCTTCCACCCAAGATACGTTTCTTCATGTGGAGATGCTTACGGAATGCTCTCGCTACGAATCTCAACCTTCACCGTCGACAATGTGCTCCTAACCCTTCTTGTCAGCTTTGCAGTGGGCCTGAGGAAAATGCTCTTCACTGCTTTTTTTTGTGCCCACATGCCGCTGCTACCTGGCACAAGATGTTTCCCTCCCTCGATGCTCCTCCTAATCTCTCACAATGGATCTTTGCCCTGAGGGAGGAAGATAACCTTGACTCGTGTCGAAAGAAGATATTCTGCTTGTGGAATATTTGGAAAGCTCGTAACGAGTTCATCTTCAGAAGGGTCGTTCCAGTCCCCCCTTTGACTGCCATTTGCGCCTTCAGAGATGCAGCTGAACCTTGTTACAATCCTACTCCCGTTCCTCCCTTCACTCAGCCTAGAAACATTCCACCACAATCATGCCCACCGCCATTGTTTCCTCTGAAAAGGATTTTCTGTGATGGTTCTTTTGATCATGTGACACAGGAGGCGGCTTTTGGAGTAGTTATTACTAACTCCAATGGACAGATTTGTGATGGAAAGGCTGGAAGGATCTCTTGTTCTTCCCCAATTGAAGCAGAGGCACATGCAATTCTTGAAGCTTGCCATTATGCTCTTGAAGACCCGACCCCCTCAGTTATCATGTCTGATTGCAAAGTTCTGGTGGACGCTCTCATCGGCCAGCCTGCTGATTGGCCTTGGCGTTGTTACGCAACTCTTTCCTCCATTTCCAGAATCTTGCAACATTCGACAAGGATTCGTGTTTCTTTCACGAGTCGTTGCCACAACAAATGTGCTGATTGGGTGGCTAGAAACTGTAGACTTAATGGCCTTCATCCTGAATGGCTTCAAATTCTCAATGTTGTATCTGCTTTGCTGTAACTTTGCTCTTTGGGGAATGAATGATTGAAATCACTTTTTCAAAAAAAAAATACTGGTTGGGTTTGGCCAGCTTGCTCGGTTAATATTTGAGCATGGGTTAAATTGATCCACTCAGTGCCACATCAGCTCCACATGGCCCAATAAAAAATAGCATCACCGGTGCCATAGTTTTTATAGCGGCACCGTAGCATTGGCCTACAATCTACTCATAAATCTTGACAAGTAGCGGCAAACACGAAAGGAAGAGCGAGAGAAAGACTGGACTGGGCCCGCGGCCCAAATCTCGTCTATCTCATTTTCCTCCTCATCCTGGGCCGGGCCCTTGAATCAATTCACTATCTGTTCATTCAAAGACTGGACTGGGCCCAGAAAATAGGCCAAGATGTAGGCTTTTTGTACAACTTCTGTTCTGATTCGAGCCCAAACTGTTCTGCGCAGGCGCGAATTGGGAACGCTGAGGAACCCTAGCGGCAAACACGAAAGGAAGAGCGAGAGAAAGATCAGAAGCAGAACTATTTCGTAGCAATGTATTCGGCAATTTCATACCTTCGGAATAGCAGAGCTTTGAGCTCGGCGTCGTCTTTGCTACGCGGTGATGGAGGGTTCTGCAGATATGCCTCTTATCTTCCTTCCCCTGCTTCTCCAGGCAAGTCTCTCTCTCTCTCTCTCTCTCTCTCTCTCTCTCTCTCTCTCTCTCTCTCTCTCTCTCTCTCTCTGTTTCGGTGATTATAGACTTCGAAATGGTGTAGTTGACTGAAGAATGTAACTCGAATCACCGGGATTGAAAGGTTAACTTGTTCAAGAATGTCTGATCGTATCTGAATGGAAGTTGGAAGTTCAGTTGGGGAAAGGGTAAAGATTGGAAATTGAGCAATTGAATCACATGGGTTTGGGTAGTCTCAATTCAATTTCAAGCACACATATTTAGGAGTCTTCTTGTGCATTTCAGTTAAGCATTCTGTGGGGGTGGAACTTTGGTGTGTTGTTTATTTTTACTCTTCTCTTGAATCAATGTATGGATTCCTTAACTCTGTAGCCATGGATGAAAGAAGGCAAATTTCATGAACTTCCTTGGTGTATGTGTTGAATCCCATCCTGCAGGGCCGACAAAGGTCGAGCCGGACAGGAACTCCAGGCCAATGGACTATCTTCGGACGGTGATAAACGAAGAGCCCTCTCAAATCTCTCGGCTCAACAACGACGAGAATGCTGATTGCGTCCACATAAAGCTGCTGCGCAACAACACCTTTGTCACGGTGACCGATCCCAATGGAAACACCAAGATCGGAGGGCTGAAAGCTTCATCGGGGATGGTGCCGGAGCTCAAAGGTGGGCCGAAGCTATCCCGTTACGTAGCTGAAGCAACGTCGGAGCATGTTGGAAGGAAAGCTAGAGAAATGGGGTTGAGATCAGTTGTGGTGAAGGTGAATGGGTTCTCTTTCTTCAAGAAGAAGAGGCAAGCGATCATGAGCTTCAAAGAGGGGTTCGGGAACTCCATAGTCTCTATTGAAGATACTACGCGTAAGCCACATAATGGTTGCAGGCTCCCGAAGAAGCGCAGAATCTAGGACATCAGAATGGCTAGTGGTTTCATTGTAGGCAGGCTCATATGCCTGGAGAAACAGATCTTGATGTTCCGTGGCAATTGAATTGTGGGGAAAAGTATATGATATACTGCTAGTCCCTGGATGTAATAACGTTGTGCTTCCCATTTTATGTTCTCTGGATTGTGCTCTGTTCTCTACCTGTTGGATTCAACGAGTTAAATTCGCGTGCTGATCTACTGTTGATTAGCAGGTGGATTATCTTATAGCAATACATGTGTTTTCCGGGGAGAAAACTCTTGTTGAATTGAGATGGATTGCACCTTTGACTTGTTTGGACAACGATTTCTAAGACATGACTCAAACCTCTTCAAACAAAGTTCGAACGAGGGTGTTTGATTGATGGTCTTGGGAACGAGATCTAAATTAAATTACTTCTACTCCTATGGAGGTTCGGCGAGAGCTCCAAACTACGAACTACATCTATGGTTATATGATAGAGAAAAGGTAAAGGATAAACTTGACATGTGTGTCAGAGTGTTGGTTTTTTGGAACCCTTGTCTCTGTCGACCCATCTTCTTATTTATAGCCCCGAGGAGGTAACCGCCATAGAAAACCGCTTGTTAGATAACTGCTACAAAGAACCGCTCCTCCTTCTTCGGTAGAAAACCGCATCTTGGATAACTCCCAAAAAGAACTGCTCCCTGCTTCCTCGGAGTGGTGGTTACTCCTTCAACCGCCTAGGTGCCTCTCTTGGAACCGTCGTGGGTTTGGAGTGTAGCTTGCCTCGCCTAGTCTTGTTCTGAATCTCGTGCCATGCTAGTCTTTTGACGAGCATGTAGTGTCTCGCAAAAGGGGGTCGTGGTCTTCTTGCCTCGCGGCCATGGACTTCTTACTCATGTCCATGGCCTTCTTGTTTTACGGCCATGAACTTCTTACTCATGTCCATGGCCTTCTTGTCTAACTGTCATGGACCTCTTGAGACATATTCACTAGTGATATAATGCTCCATCACCACGCCCTTCTCATTCATGTCCATGGCCACTCTTGTGAAGTAGCCTAGACTTCTCAATCATGCACAAGGCCCCTCTCATGAGGCGACATGGCCTTTCCATACTTAGTATTTTCAATCATTTCTAATGCTTCTTGCTTCACGTCCATGGCCATCTCATGACACGGCCATGGACCTCTTAATCATGCACATGACCCTTCTCGTGAGGCGGCATGACCTTCTCAGACTTGGTATATTTTGGATCATGAAGCGACATGGCCTCCTCATTCGTGGCCATGGACTTCTCAGTCATGTCTGTGGCCCTTCTCGTGACACAGCATGGCCCTCTCATACTTGGTATCTTTTCTTGCGTCCATGCCCCTTCTCGTGAAGTGGCACGCCCTTCTCGAGACTTAGAATATTTTTGACCGTATCGAGGTCTTCCTTGAGATGGCATGTGCTTCTAAATTCTAGATGGACATGTTTTTGTGTCGTTTGGTCTTGGTTATGAGGCGGCATGGCCTCTTCATTCATGGCCATGGACTTCTCATACTTAGAAATTTTCATGCCATCTCGTGGCATGACATGGCCTCTTACGAGAGTCCCATGTCCCTTATTGAATCATGTCCATGCTCATCAATGAGCTAGTGACTTGGGTTAAAAATCAATATCCATAAGGCCCAATTTAAACAACATTAATTGTTATAATGGGTGCGGCCTTATAAACTCCTTGATTATCTTGTAACTCACCAATGTGGTACAAGACAAAATTTATGGTGTAAACAAATGCCCCCCAACTACTTAGTGCATAAGGATTATGGACTAAGTAGTTGATACCAACTTGACCACTTATATCCCTTCTCTAATTGGTCCTCGAGTAACAAGGTTTGTCCCTACTCACCCATGACCAACAAGTTCAATAAAACTAGAATTTTTCCCTCTAAAACAACACCATGGTACCTACGTCTTTCAAGTGGCTAGCTATGCCACCTATATTGTCTTCATTCATGTGTAGCCACGAGAAACCCTTGCCTTGTTGGCTTCTCGTCAACAATTCAGTGAGGCCCCTACACTTTTCTTATTTTACATGCTCAAGCTGGCCATTACTCATCTCCAACCCACGATGCCCTTAGGTCATGGCCAACATACAAACTAGTGGCCACTTGGGACAAGACGACATAGCATGGCAAGACGCAATCTACGACTCGGTATGCCAAGCCATCACTACGACTTGGTGGTAAGATCTTCACATCAAAGTCTAATAACCTCGACTCAAAATTTCCACTTTGTTATTTTCTCTCTATTTTTTCTTATATAGCCATGATTGGCTTTTATTTATTTATTAATATATATGATATTTATTTATTTAAGATAACAAGGAGTGACAAACGTCACTGCTCTCCATCGCCTCTGGCAACAACTAATGCGCCAAAGGTGTACACCCACTGCCAAGTCCATGGATTAAAACATGCAAGCCATCCATATACCACATGCCTCTTTTCCTCCATGGAACATGATTCTCCATACATTAATTTTGAATCTTCTAGCTTACTAGTGGGTGGTATATGATCAGCATGTCTAGCCTTGGTGGCCTTACATGGGGTCCCATGCCCTTGTGCTTTGGCCACCTTACTTGACATGTCAAGACAACCATGAGTTTTCCTCTGACTTGGTTTCCTCATGGTGGAGACATGCTTACTCTCCTCATGTTGTTGGAGACGATGTCCAGTCTTGACAAGTTGACGACCACCCATGTGGCCCACTTGACTTTGTCTTTCAACCTCCAAACCTTGTTGTCTCCTACCCTTAGCACACGACCATCCTTGGTTCTTTGTGAGGCCATTTCTGGTTTGTGCGTATGATACCTTCTTATGCATGCCCCTATGTCCATCATTCATGATTGATGGCATGTACTTACTACTCATGGACATGAGCTTGCCCCACTGTCCACACTTAGCCAAACTTGCGTACTTATCACAAGCATGTGTAGGTTGGAATTCTTTTAGATTCTAGGACATGCCCCCTACTCCATTATTCATGGTGGGTGACATGCCTCCTTGCCCATACTTAGCTAAATTTTCAACACTACGAGAACTCTTTTTGGCTTTCCCACGTCTTTTCTTGTTGGACTTGACCTCATGTCCACTGTTTGCGATTGGTTGCATATCCTCTTGTCCAGACTTAACCATAGTTTTACACTTATAAAGGTCATGGGTGGCGTGGAGCTGTTGTGTCTTCCAAGACATGCCCCCTACTTCATACTTCATGATGGGTGACACTGACATGCCCCCATGTCCAGACTTAGCCAAACTAGCATGCTTATCATAAACATGTGTGGCTTGGACTTCATATGACTTTTCGGACATGCGTTGTCCATAATTAGCCAAATTTTCAAATCTGCAATAACTTTTTATGGCTTTCTTCCGTCGTGACTTGTTAGATATGCCCCAATTTCTAGTACAAGTGGTTGGATGCATGCCCCCATTTCCAAACTTAGCCAAAATAGCATGCTTAGCACAAGCATGTGTTGCTTGTGATTGATGTGGTCTCTTAGACATCACATGCCCCCTAGATGGACTTTTAGGCTTCACATTGTGGGAAGTTAGACTTTCCTGCCCCCCTTGCTGAGCTCTTGGTGTTTTGAGTCCATCAGAATCGCTTCTTTGTCTACTCAATAGGGGTGGCTTCGGGGGTGGGCAAGCATTTGGTGGTACTTGTTCCACATTGAATGGATCTTCACCATCTCGTCCATTGACAAGTGTCTCATCTGATCTTGTCTCGAGAACAAGCAGTTGAACATCACCTTGTACATGCAAGACCCCATGATTGGTGTTCAAAGTGGAGGTGGACATCTCATCACAACTAACACATTGATGGAGTGGTTTGCTTGTCACTGGAAGTGACAAGCTCTTCTGCCATAGTTGGCCATTCCGACCACGCCATTGTTTCCGGCAACATCCTTCATCTCTTGGCCAAATTCAAACTTAGCCACGTGCTTCTTCACAAGCCCAAGTAAGAGATCACCTTCTTGTTGTCTCTGTCTTGGAGCCATCAAATCAAACACAAGGGTCCCACCAGGTGTGCCAAATTTGTTTTCCGGCGAGAAAACTCTTGTTGAATTGAGATGGATTGCACCTTTGACTTCTTTGGACAACGATTTCTAAGACACGGCTCAAACCTCTTCAAAAAAAGTTCGAACGAGGGTGTTTGATTGATGGTTTTGGGAACGAGATCTAATTAAATTACTTCTACTGCTATGGAGGTTCGGCGAGAGCTCCAAACTACGAACTACATCTATGGCTATATGATAGAGAAAAGGTAAAGGATAAACTTGACATGTGTGTCAGAGTGTTGGTTTTTTGGAACCCTTGTCTCTGTCGACCCCTCTTCTTATTTATAGCCCCAAGGAGGTAACCGCCATAGAAAACCGCTTGTTGGATAACTGCTACAAAGAACAGCTCCTCCTTCTTCGGTAGAAAAGCGCCTCTTGGATAACTCCCAAAAAGAACTGCTCCCTGCTTCCTCGGAGTGGTGGTTACTCCTTCAACCGCCTAGGTGCCTCTCTTGGAACCATCGTGGGTTTGGAGTGTAGCTTGCCTCGCCTAGTCTTGTTCTGAATCTCATGCCATGCTAGTCTTTTGACGAGCATGTAGTGTCTCGCAAAAGGGGGTCGTGGTCTTCTTGCCTCGCGGCCATGGACTTCTTACTCATGTCCATGGCCTTCTTGTTTTACGGCCATGAACTTCTTACTCATGTCCATGGCCTTCTTGTCTAACGGTCATGGACCTCTTGAGACATATTCACTAGTGATATAATGCTCCATCACCACGCCCTTCTCATTCATGTCCATGGCCACTCTTGTGAAGTAGCCTAGACTTCTCAATCATGCACAAGGCCCCTCTCATGAGGCGACATGGCCTTTCCATACTTAGTATTTTTCAATCATTTCTAATGCTTCTTGCTTCACGTCCATGGCCATCTCATGACACAGCCATGGACCTCTTAATCATGCACATGACCCTTCTCGTGAGGC